GCGCGATTACGCGAGGCCAAAACAGGCGGGATACCACCGCTGTGAAGTGGGCGTGACTGAAGATTGCGGGGTGCTGTCGAGATGTCGAGGCACACGGACACGTTCAGTATTCACAGGAATGACACTCTATCATTCGCTCGACGGACCTGACCGCTTCACGAGATTAGGCGGTGGGGTTGCGGAGTTCGAGCGAGTACAGAGCTCTGCCAAGGTAGGTAGACAACAACGCTAAATCTTGCAATTTCCAGACTTGGTATTGTGAATGGTCGGCCACAAAAGTGGAGGAGACGAGGCTGGCCCTGCTATCTATATGATGCAACAGTGAGCCCACGCAAGGTACCTAATCGATACACATCATCAGTACGCTAGGCCAGAGCGGTTACGTGAAGAAAGGTAGCCTCACCAGAATGTGCCACGAGATCAGAGGGACCAGGAGGAGCCCAAAGATGGAGGCAATGATCGTATGGACACACGCAAACACACTAAGGTCTCTATCGGCGCTCTCTGGGTGGTGGAACGAGTCTCGTGGACAGCGGGGATGGAAAACGCACACGGTGAACTGACGATCCGGATCGTACACCAACAAGACAGAGTGTAAGGATGAAGCCGAAGCCAAATGATGAAACAGGCCCAATCACATATGTTGGGTATGTAGAGGTGAGTGACGATCCGCACAATTATAGTCCAAGACAGCCTTAGAACCTTGACTGAAGCGATGAGACTCACGTTTGAAATACGCCACACCCATGTCTTGCTACACTATGGTACGCGGAGTTAGAGGCCTAAGCTTTCGGGTAGACCCGCCATTTCTTTCAATCAGCAAAGTCTTCCGGAATCCGCGCGGAAGGGTAACGGGTTGTCCGTATAGGCTAGACCGCACTCCATTCGTGCAGACTCATTGGGATGCGAAAAGATTGTCAGAAGCAAGCATAACTCTCATCAAGCAACAGCACTGCCATCCCGCTACTCCGTGATGTTCAACGTGGCTAGCTCAAAGAAGGCAAATACCATTTGCCTGACGGCGGTGTCGGTCTGCGCTCCCCTCGCATGGCGGTTGGCAGACCTATATCGACGAGCTGTCAAGCGTCGAGCTGAAGAAAGATTGCTCGTTTAGTGCTAGCTGAGCTGGCGAAAAAAGTTCTACATCGTCTTGTTTGGCCGGCGTGCAGAAGCGAACGGTTATCTGCATGGCATGGCTTGGCAACAAGCCATTGTGTCTGGCGCACCAGTAGGAGACCAGCTGAGATGTCATGGCGTGCAGAGACGCAGGTACGTATGCAATCTGATGCGACGATGTTCGCTGGGTTGGCAGGAGCCTCGCGTGTACTACATGTGTCGTCGATCATGACGCTCACGTCACACATGCGCTTCGCAATCAGCCCTGGAGTACTCCGGACATCGCAACAATCTATTCCCACGACAAAGACAACGCCGAATCTGCTGAAATTCCCGGTGTCGGCTTGTCGCTGGTGAAGGCGGGGAAGCCTGTGAGTCTTTCCCATCAATACCGACTCAATACCGGCTAGACACTGCACATACTTCGATATACTCACTAATGTGGCTAGTAATAACCCACGCATACAACGATCAACCTCCGAGCTCGCTTGTAATCCCCACGCCACCGGAAGGCTGCAGTCCAGCGACCGCCTGGTACCGTTGCCCGACCGCCATAGCGTGGATCTGGTCAGGCATGCGCATCGCGTGTGCGGTAAATCTTTTCCGGTGGCGCATGATGCTGCCTTGACAGGTCGCGGAGACTTAATCTTGCATATGATTGCATATGTCTGGGGAAGCTTGTACCCGTCTCCGGTGGCTACACTACCACGCTTCGCCGTGAGTGGTACGAAACGGCGACCGTGCAGCGTGCATGCCGCGTGCGAGGACATGATGGTTGAAGGTACGATATGTAGGGTTGTGCGGGACGATTAGGACGTTCGAGCAGAGACACAAGTCTGAGAAATTGAGCAAGAGGTGAAAAGTCTGACATCTTGGAAGACATTTGCACTGACGCGCAGGATTGTCTAGACGCACGTACTGCGTAATCCGCCTTTCACCCCCGCGCCATTTCCAAACAATCCCCCACGCACTGGGATACCTATCAGCCTCCCGAAATCTTCTCGGTCAGATCTTCGCTTTTGCATCAGCCGGCGGCAACAGCTGAACATCCGTCCACGGCAATCCCAAGTATTCCCACATGTAATGGAACCTATATGGCATACCCGTTAGCGCGCCCCACAGCTCTCGAGTGTTCGTTCGCCATGTTTCAACCGTTCGCAGCTCATTCTGTATCCGTTGCGGCATCTCCCCCGTAGCGGGCGCCTTACCGTACATAACTGTACTAGTAAAGGTCCAACCTCGTCGACCCACAACGGAACACACGAGCATACTAAGCAAAAGGCAAGGCCGGGGACACAGATGAGAGAGCACGTACCTATCACTGCCAAAGAATGGTTCTTCTTCCCCTTTCGAGTTGCGCACAAGGAACCATGGGCAGCCAAAGGCACCCCGATCGAGGGCTTCCTTGGTATTATCGTTCAGCTGCTGCTTGTATGGCGGGCTGTTTGCTTTCGCCATGACTTCTCGGGCTTCGTCTTCCTTTAGACGCTGCTTAAGAACTTCCACAAGTACCTCCGGTTTACTGACATCCTTGCCGTTTTCCCACATTGCATGGTAGATGTCACGGAAGATGGCGACGAATTTCTCTCCATGTGCTTCCTTCACGTAGCATAACGCCCGTTGTGGCAGCAATGAGAGGATCGGAAAGAAAGATGGCGTCTGCAGATTAGGAACGCCAAAGTGGTGTTTCGCTCGCGCGCCATCATACTGGCTGTAGTTCGCCTTTGCTGGCAGGGTCCATGGCGGCTTGTTGCCTGCGCTGCAGTGTCAGGACTGATCTGGCATAGCGAGTACCGAGATTCCAGGCACTCCACATGGGAGGGGATGAGGGAGTGTTACCGCTGCCGACATTGATACCCCCTAGAAAGACGGGCACTATACTGTATCAAGTCAGTGATCATACTTGCTCTTGGTGTGAGCGCAGTCTCGTTGGTAGGGTTTCATAGAAGGGAATTCGTCTCGAGCTTTAGGTAATGAAACAACGGGTACTAACTCGATCTCTATATTGTGCGCTTCGAGAGTCTGCTTGTTCCTCTCCAGGTGCAGTAAAGCGTAGTATGAGTATGGAGATACTAGTCCATAATTAGCATGTGATGTCGATCAAGAGGACAGTAAGTACGCACCGCAATCTAGATAGCACGTAATTTTGCCTGCCATATTCGCAATACGTCCAAATGTACGAGATGAGAAATCAAGACCGTACTTGTAAAGATGCTGGCCTTGTCTTATGCGCGTCGTCGTTGGATCGGCGCACTGCCCAGGTGTCTTGGCTGCCGAGGTCTAGCAGGGCCGGACTCTATCACTAATCGCAACCACACCTCCGCCTTTCAGACCGCGAATGATGCGGATACCCCGGATTCTCGCCGCCCAGCTTATGCGTACCGCAGATGCAGCGCCATACGCATTGACCGAGGTTATAGAATGAATGCTCGTTGCAATGTCATGTCTGCATGCGTTCCGTAGGCGCCTCTTGCTGTGAGCAGCAAGCAACAATTCCCCCGGCGCGACGTAACCTACAACCCTACGCAATACGCTCTCTCCACCATGCCAATGTCCAACAAACAAGTCGCACTCGTCGTCGGCGCTTCACGAGGCATCGGTCGACAAATCGCCATCGACCTAGCAAAAGACGGCTACGCAGGTGGACATAGCAACCACCTCCTCCGTCCAAGAGCCAAAGCACTGACAACAACGCAGTCGTCGTAGCCGCCAAATCCACCTCCGACGCCTCGAAATGCTCTCCCTTCCCACCCGACCCAAACTCGCCGGCGTCCACCATCTCCACCGTGACCCGCGAGATCCACGAGTCAGGCGGCGAAGCCACAGCCATAAGCGTCGATACACGAGACTATATCAGTATAGAGCGCATGGTAGCCGAGACAATAGCCAAGTACGGCCGTCTGGACGTACTTGTGTACAACAGCGGCGCGATATGGTGGGCAAGCGTAGCCAAGACCCCGATGAAACGGTTCCAGCTCATGCAGCGCGTGAACGTCGAGGGTCTGTATGGCGTCGTACAAGCCTGTCTTCTGCACTTTGAACAAAGTGATGGGGCGTGGAGGGGTAGGATTATCATTGTTAGTCCGCCGATCTACTCGCGCTTCTTCCGCGGGAAGACCGCGTATGCGATGGGCAAGGTGGGTATGTCTGTTCTTACAAAGGGGCTAGCCATAGACTTCCAACGCGAAGGAAAGAGCGAGATGGCAGTTACAAGCATTTGGCCTGCGACGGCGGTCCAGAGTGCTGCGACGCAGAATATGGCCCAGGAAGATGCCAAGGATCTTAGGACTGCCAATGTCTTCTCCGACGCGGTGTTGCAGATGATCAAGGCGCCCGTGGAAGAGGTTAATGGGGAGTTATTGCTTGATGAGGATTTCTTGCGGATGAAGGGGGTTAGCGATTTTGAGAAGTACAATTTGGTAGAAGGGAGTAGACCGAGGAGGATTATGCCTGCGGATTTTCCCGATTTGAGAGTCAAGGAGCAGGATGATGAGGGGAGGAGGGTTGATAGTACGAAGCTTAGGGCTTCCAGATTATGAGGTACAAGCTATCGCCTTTGCACACTCCTTCATTGCTATCCAAGCGAACAGATTCGCTGCTTGAGATCGTCCTCGATGTCGACACGAATTCACACAGCGCCCGCAAGGCCTACTGAGGCCCCGGCCCTGCCCAATTTCGTACAGGCGTCCGGTCGCTCTCCGTGTAGAAGAGACCATCGTTTATACCATCCCAGTAATCCGCCCTCGGACCACCGTAGGATTCCCTGGATGGACGCACCGAAAGCGGTTCGGCCGTGCTGCACTCAGCATTATACCACGGACTATCTCGATCATCCAGCCTGTGGCCCTGGTTAGTAGATTACTTTCTAATGACTGCTTCCTTACTCACCTGTTATGTCGTTTGATGTTTCGAGCTACTGCCCTGCCAATCCAGTACGCGTGGGACGGATTTGGGTGCTCTCTTCCGTCGCGATCACGCTGGTACCTACCAGGATTTCGCTTTTCCATTACAAGCATGCTTGTGTGGAATCCCCGATAGTAGCAGTCATCTCGCACAGGCTGTGCTACTGTGCTTCCTTCAACCCTGCCCGCGGTGTGTCCTTCAGATCGACCAGTCTCACGGCCCTCGTTTTTTCCAGTCTCATATCCATCTCTAGAGCCTTCAGACCTGCCCATAGCATATCCCTCACATCGACCAGTCCCATGGCCTTCGATTCTACCAGCATCACGACCGCTGGCCGAGCCCGCCTCGTGCGCCGCTCGCTCCCGCTCTTCTAGAACCTGCAACGCCTCCGCCATACCTTCTGTATGGCCCTCGCTCTTTGCTTCCGCACATGCAGCTCGGTGCACTGGCTCCAGTTGATTTTCGACTTCGATGGTTGCCAGGCTTCTCGCTTCAGCCCTAAGTGCAGGTATGATCTGCTCCTCTTTCGCCTGCAACCAGAGCTGTTGTACAACTTCAAGGTCGGTGCCTTCGAGATTCCTAGCACGTCCATCTCGCCATTGGCTTTGTTCAAGAGAAAAGGCTTGTCGATCATTCTCCAGGGACTCCTTTGCCATATTCAGTCTGGACTCTGTGTCTGTGACTACGCCTTCGCGTGCTTCAAGCATAGCTTCCTGCTCTTTGATCTCCTGGTTCTGTTTGTCTTGCTTACTCCTCAAACGTTCGTCGAGCTGAACAAGCTTGATACTCTGCTGGCAGAATGTCTTCTCCCACCTCGAGAAAGCCTGCTCGGCACGATTCTTCCCTGCCACCAAGTTTCTCATATCACGCATAGCCTTATCCGTTTTGTCGCCCAAAGCCCAAACAGCATCGTAGAGATCTGAGTCTGGTCCGTTGTTATGTGGAATCCATCTCGGCCTTGATCCACGTTCCTTGGCTTCTTCTTCTTGTCGCGCCAGATTGGCCTCTCTTTCAGATATTGCCTCGTCTTTGACCTGAAGCTGCGTCGCCTGCATCCTTCGCGCTTCTCTGAGTTCTTCTCTTTCTTTGTCGATCTTCAGAGTCATCTCTGCAAGTTTCTCTTCTGCCGCTACGCGTTTCTCATCGGCGTCGATCTTTTCGATTGATAGTTCCTCGGCGCGTCTCTCGAGCCATTCATCGCGGGTCACAAATGGCAACAGTACCGGAAAGAAATCCAGTACATCGCGGCTGGGGCGGGGAGGAGCAACGGCCGTAAGAGGGATTGCGGTGTCTGAAATAGGTCAGTAAAGTGTGCTCATAGCCCGTCGGGAGAATGGCAATCGTGGCGACTTACTAGGGCTTGCTGTTATAACACCACCGGTATCTGTAAGTGTCCTTTCAGGACCATTTGCCTGTGAAGAACCCAGGCTGGATACCTCGGAATTGGGCGCAGACATAGCGCACTCTCACTCGTATCTCGACGGTCGATGTAAAGTATGAAGACGTAGATGAACAAACACAGACGCTCACTATACCGTCTAGTTAGGCGATGTAGTTACCTGGAGAGGTTGATGCATGGGGCGAGGGAACGGACGAGCCAACATTTGGACGCGAAAAAGTGAGACTCTGCGACGCAACAAAAGAGGAAGGAGCAATGCTTGGCGCGCAAAAGAGCGCGCAAGAAACGCGTCGAATGCGGACCAACAGGGTCGCGTAAGCTGGGAGAAGCTATGAGGCGCCTTCCAAACAGCAACCGAGTTCTTTGTTTCTAGTTCATAGAGACACATGTCGTTCATAAGCACTCACCTCCAGGGCTTCGATTTGTGCCAATATGCACGTGACCTGTCCAGTCCATCGCGAGTACACCGGTACTGACGTGTGCAGATAGCCGCCCTATTGTGGATGCACCGAGCTCTTCATAACTAGAAAGAATGACAGTACTTTTAAGAAAATTCTGTCTGACGATGACACATGCGAATGAAACTACATTAAGGAGAAATTTGACAAGAAAATGGTCACTACATTCGGAGAAGGAAACGAACCAAGACAAGAGACGTGACGAAAGAGGAAAAGAGGAGAATCTCAGAAACAGAAAACTCGAGGTTTATGCATTAGCTCACCCATCTCTCCAGTTCATTCAATCCATTAGACGCTCAACCCCGATATTACTCCATCATGACGTACGGAGACTGCCTACCCTACCACCAAGTCCTCCTTCCATCATCCTTCAATCCAGCCCTATGCGAATGCCCGATAAACACCATGCTTGCTTGAAAGAGATTAAATCGCAAAACAAAAAAAGACAGTTCTACTAGTACAGGGAGCGGTCGTAGATGCAAGAATCAGCCATAGAGGGCTGGGGACGCTCGATTGAGATCTTGTAGAAGGGTATAAACGCAGGGGACCTGGTATGTAATGCTCGCTGTAACATGTATGCCGAAACGATATATGCGTGTGCGGAATTCGAGGTGGTGTGAAGACATTCTGCAACACCGCGGTTCGAAAACAGTATGGTTTCAAAGCTCAAGCGCCTTTAGGATATTTCTGACGACGAGGTTAGAGGGCGTGTGGTATCTATCCTTCTAATAGAGGCGTCCTCGGCTGGCCTGGCTTGCTCTGCTGGGCGACGTCCGGCTCCTCTCATCTTCCTCGGGAACGTCACTCAGTCTTGTTGGATGGTGATGTCTCATGCCTACCCACTCGTCGCCGTAGCCATCACCACTGTAGTCGGGTGCACCGCCAGCGGTAGGGTGACCCTGGCGTGACGATCCCGCGCTCGAACTCGTGGCGTAGGCACCTGAAGAGGTGGCAGTTGTGCCGTAGTGTTGCAGATGCTCAAGCTCGCGTCGACGTGCATCTTCTACATCGTACTCATCCGATACTGGAGACTGAAGCGATCGGAACGGGATGCGACGACCCGAATCATCGCGAATGAAGTTGCCTCTCTCGTCCAGAGCGTACTCGATGTCGCCTTCAGACTCCTCCGCCTGAGACGTGACGTATGACTGCTCGTCCTCTGGCAGACCAGACTCAGACTCTTGATGTAAATATGAACCTGGCTGCTGGTAGAACGCCTCAGGCTGAGACATGGCCGGTTGTGCAGGAGCTTGCTGTGCCTGAGACGTGTAGTATGGATACTGTAATGGAGCAGGGGCTAGTGACTCGTCCGCGACTGAAGAACCACCAGGTCGAGAGGAGGCGGCGGATGCTGCACCTGATGGGACGTAGGTTCCTTGAGCCACGTGTGCGGGGGGTTCGGGCTCGCGGTGCGCATGGCGAGCGCCTTCCGTGAAGGGATCGGTGTCAGTTGGAGACTGACCTTCCTCATACGAGTAGTGCTGTTCTATACCCGAGCCACTGCTCTGAGCACCGGCGTATGTGTCGTCCCCATGTCCCCTCCCTTGACGCCCCATGTTCTGCGCCATTGGTACCACCTGCACTCCGCCGACCAAAGTAGGCTGCCCTTCTCTGAGTGAGAACGTGCGATCACGTTCCTCTTGCTCTCGTCTTCCAAGCTCCTCCCATGCTCGGCGTGCTTCCTCTTTCGAGATTTGAAGCTCACGCTTCATCTCCGACACCGCTCGTTCGGCGTTCTTCTTCTCGGTGGCCATGCGTTCCATGTTTGCCTCAGCCTCAAGTCGAGCCTCCTGCTCCGTGTTGATTTGTTCCGTCAGTTGAGCCTCGCGCTCTTGAGCTCGTTCCTGATCCTGGCGATGCTCGTAGAACCATCTCTGGAACTTGCGCTCGGAAGATGCGCGTAGGCGCTGCAGCTCAACAACAGCATGGAAAAGGTTGGCACCAGCTGCAGACAGGTCGGTGATCTGGCGCGACATTTGCTGGGCCAGCGGCTCCCTGCGAACTTCATCGGTATTCTGCTCAAGCCGCCGTATCCAGTAGGAGGTAAGACCTTCCCAATGCGAGGATAGTGTTTCCCAGCGCTCAAATGCATGTGGAAAGTTGGATGTGGTTGACTCGCGAACCTGTCCGGAGGACGAGCCTGGCGGAGGTGGTGGGCGTGCTGCAGCGGTGGAAGGGCCTGCTTGCGATGAAGCAGCCGTGGCACCAGACGGTCTCCGCGCATGCCCTGAGCCAGCTGGCCGTCTGCCTTGTTCCGCCGTCGTTGGTAGGCCTAGATTTGCCTGAGCGGGTCGAGACTGCTGCTGCTGTGCTTGCGAGGCTGCCCGGGGTCTGGATTGCGATGCGCCGGTAGTGGTCTCCTGCGCTTCGCTCATGGTGTTTTGTGATGGGATCGGCCTCTCTGGCTGACGAGGCACTCCACCCGATGATGTTGGGTATTGTACATACTGGTCGCCAGATCTCAGAGCTGCCGATTGGGGCTGCCTCTGGGTCCCGGGCTCCGTTGTTGGTGCTCCAGCTACACCAGAAACAGCTTGAGCTCTTCTTTCTGCGCTAGCTCTCCTGCGTTCCTCTTCAGCGGCCTTCCTTTGTTCCTCCACTTCAGCCCGTTGCCGTCTGGCGTTCATGATCTGCGTTGGCGTGCGTATGTTGGACCTGTCAACGGGCACAGGACCGCCTGTTGTGCGCGCGCCGCCATTGGCAGCGCGGCCACTTGTTAGATCGGACATGAGGGCGTTCTCTTCGACCAGATCCGGGGTGAAGGGATGTGGAAGTCGAAGTCCCTCTTCGAGCACAAAACGTATTGCCGAGGCAGTACGTTGACTGACGCGAAGGGCGGGGTGAGGCTCGGCGTAGGAGGTTGAGCGAGGGCGAGGTGTCTCGAAGCGAACGCGCTGCTGCTGCTGGCTCGGATCGACAGATCTCGCGCGCTCGAAGTTGGGCGTGCGGCGAAGACTGTTTGCGACGCTGCCAGTCGAGCTCGATGCTCTCGAGCGATTGTGCTGCGTGCGATAGAAGGCTTCGGCTTGCTCCTGGCGTAGCTGGAGGGAGGTTCGGTATTCGAACAGTGGCGCTGGGCCGTGGCGGTCGTGGTCTCGTGAAGATGGTTGTTGGAAGGGTAATATGTTGGCGAGCTCAGATGGGTCGCTGGACGTCACCGCGAAGTCAGGGACTCTCACTCAGGCCCAATTGCCCTTGCGCCGTCGAGGGGCACCCGCCGGGTTGGAGAAGACACCCAGCGGCTGGATCTCTTGGGATTGGGTAAGCAACGCGCGACGGCTTGCTTATATCGAGAGGCACGAAAGCTGGCTGGAGAGGGTAATGTTAGAGACAGAGACTGCGGGAGGGCTAGCAGAGGAGCCATTGCTGCGGTGCGCCCTAGCAATTCCGCGCGCGAGGTAGGGTGGTTGGGAGGAGGTGAAGGGCTGGGAGGTGGCTGGGACGCTTCGTGAAATCAACTTACACCTCTCACCGACAGTCCATGAAACAGCCAATGTACGTGTCTGGATGCGCGATTGGTGACTATGTATGCGCTGCGCTGCGCTGTGCTGTCGTCGTGGTGCTGGTGGTTGTCCAATGCCTCGAGTTCTGCTGGCAGTGCCGAAGCAGACGTCACCGGACGAAAAGCTGGCCCTCAGCCCCAGCGCTCGGAAGCGCGGCGCCTGCTGCAACGCGCGGGTGGGTAGAAAAGAGTGACGGAAGAGACAGAGGGTATCGTCTGGATATGCATTGAAGTCGCGCGGCTGAGCAATCGCGGACCTGTGGTAGCGCTTTGAGCGCGAGCGGAGCTTCACCCGGGAAGCAAATACGCCAAACGCTGATATTTGCTGATGTGGAGTCGCACTGACCGACGTGCAGCGAGATGCATGCAAGCGACTGCACTGGGACGAGGATAGCGGACGTCGAGTTGGTGACGGCTACGATCGATTGCCAGCGTGCCAGCTCATCGTGCTTGTTCTGCTAAACCTGGCATGGGGCCAAGGTACAGCGCGAGCCGGAAAGCGGAAAGCCCATCGCCGTCATGACCGGCCGAACGAAGCAAGGCATTAGAAGCCAGCAGTCCAAGATTACAAAGAAGTCATGTAGATGATAGCTGGAGATTTATTTGGCTCACGGCCTCTCTCATGCTCGTGGTCGCGGTTACCTCATCGCACCTGCCCACCCGCATGCGCCTGCCAATCAGCCGAGTTGTGAGGAAGGAGCGGCCCGTCTCCAGCGGGTCAAATCGTCACAGCATCTGGCCACGAGCGTCGTGCCTCTTCAACCTGACAACAAGCCGCCTTCTCCAAAGGCCCGCGTCGCAACGACCAGCTGATGATGAAGTCGTTCGGTGTCTTGCACAGCCAACAAACATTCCATTATGTCCACCCCTGGAACCCGCATACACGACATGCAACTCCCAGCCTCGCCTATGCGTTAGACCCATGATCCTGCAGCAACGGAAGAACAAGGAAACATACTGCAGACGTAACGTTCACTAGACCCACAGAACAGCTGTCATCGTCAGACGTCGCCCGTCCCATTTGCGATGAAAAGAGGACGGCACACTTTGCGCACACCGCCTCACAACCTGAATCGCAAGCACATCGGACCGAGGCAGCAATCGGAGAGCTGTAGCACTTGCAAAGACGCCGAGATGTCAGCAACGACGGAGAAGCATCGACACAGCCAGGTTACGGGATGTGTTTTTTATTCGTGTAGATCCTAGGAAAGGGCCAGACTCTGGAGTGAGACCTAGCTACAAGGTTATTCCCAAAAACCCTTTCCCAAGGCTTCCAAGCGCCAAAAGCTCCGCAGGCGCGTCGTGGTATCGTAGTTCATCCTCCGCTCCGTCATTGCCCAAGTCCGAATTGTCAATCGTTTGTCGTTCGTCATCCGCCGTCACCCGTCCGCCATCCATCTGTCGGTTCCTATGAAAGTTAAGCAAGGGTCTTTGGGTAGGACACATTCGCTGCTGCCAGCAAGTGCCATCCATGTCTCCTCACTCCCTTTGGTCAGCTGCATGATAAAGATAATGTCGAAACACCAAAAGCAAGCAGGACGCTGAGCAAAACCGGACCAAATTCAAGGAGCAGCGCCAGAACCAGAACCAGACAACCAATCCCAAGATCTTCTTACCTTGTGCTTGAAGCTACCGTTCTTGACGGCTGTCGCAGCTTTTACCGAGGATTCGTCGATGTCTGCTGGCAGGATTTGGTCGAAGCTGCTATCATTGGAAACGATAGAGTCTTCGGAGGTCGCGCTGTCGACAAGTACCAGGCTCGCGCCTGTCGAAGAGGTTTCGCCAGAAAACGTGTCTCCGTCTGCGGCAGGGCTTCCGGTCGTCGCGAGAGTGACAGGTGTCTCGCTATCAGTCACTGGGACATGAGGGAGACTTGCCGAAGACACGGTCTCTTGCGGTTGCAAATGGGAGGTGACAGCACTGCCTGGTGACAATGGTGACTGCGCTGAGAAGTAGCCGTCTTCTTTGGCTGCGCCATCCAAGGCCTCGCCTAGGTCCTTCATCTGGAGAGACTCCTTTGTTAGCGGTATCGGGTCGCCACGATCATCAAACACTCCAGTCCAGTTAGGCCATTGGATCAGGCAATGGTTGTTGACGACCTTGCCCTCTCTGTTGTATGGATTGCGGGAAGTCTTTGGGGCTCGTAGGCCACTATCCACGCAATCTTTACCGCAGGTCAACAACGCGATACGAGAGAGCTCTTGTTCGAACGGAAGGTAGTCGACGACGAAGCCGTTGAGTTTGAGGCACCTAATAAACAAGTCAGTCTCATACCACTGGTTGCTGAGTTGCGCCGCGTATACATCTGGGATGTATCTCGGTATTTGGGGCTTCGTTTGGCTCATGACCACCAGGATTCTCGAGATCATTCCACTTACCATAACGGAAACGGGTTGGCCTCTTCCAATCCAGCCGCAATACGTCCCTTGCGCATGCTGAAGTCATCAAGATACTCGCCGGTGCCGAAAGAGTAGTGTAATACTCCCTTTCCGTCTATGCCCCTGCAATGTGTTAGCGACAGTACTGTATGGAACTCCGGATGCGCTCCTGTGCATGGGGACTCACTTGTACTCCTTTTCTTTTGAATCTATCTTCGGAACGGTCAAGCCACGGACGTCTTCAGCCTTGTGCCAGTGCTCTTTCCGCACGATCGGAGGCGCCGCCATGTCGAGGTCCAGCACGCGCATACCGGTCTTGGACGTATTGCGGAAGACAGCCTCCCAGTAGATGGACTGGAGTGAGTCATGCATACGGAACAGTCGAAGCTCCTCGAGCTCAGTCTGCTGGACAAGCGGCTTCATCTCTGCTGGGCTGATGTATGATTTGTACTCGTTCTCACCATCTTGCTGAAGGCGGACAGGCTGACCGAGGTCGAGGACAAGCTTCGTAAGCGAGTTGGACAACTTCGTCCAGATGACAGCCATGAAGGGTAGGTCTGAGATCCAGCTAGAGCCTGTTAGCCAGTAGGCCTGCTGCGAGAAGAGGATGTACGTACGTCAACTCTTTGAGCGCAGGCATCTGTTCAACGAGCTTCGCGATTTGCTCGCCTGCATCGTGCCAGTTCTGCTCGGACTTGGTGGACCAGTGCGGCTGTGATGAAGTTAGCTTCATCGCTGCCACCATTACCGACTCCTCTTACCTCGTTCGCATAACGCTTTTGCTCCTCGGGCGCACTGGCTTGTTCGCTATCTTTCTTCGCTCGAGCCGACTTCCAATCGCCGATGACATAGAGTTTGGTGACTGGAACAAGGCGATCATAGACGTTGATTAGGTAGTCGTCTACCTGCTCGTTCACGTGCTTTAAGGAAGAAGTAACGTCGCCATTCTGGTCGCGACCGACATTGAGTACGTAGCAGGAGTCGTCAGCGCGGTCAGCCGCAAGCGTTGTCTCGAGGACGTAGGGACCTAGGTTGTCCTTGAGTTCGGCCATGGTCGCGATGCGCGGATGTATGGTTGTTGATTGTTGGTAGTAGGTGTAAGTGGTCGAATGCAGGTGCGTGGGGAATTTTGTTACGACCGGTCTCGAGATTGTTGCGGTCCTAGTCGAAGGTGACGCGAGATTGGGGTCGAGCAGCTCTGATAGGGCTGATAAGAGTGTTTGCTATATAAATAGGAAGGCGCTCACGGTGAAGGTGCGACACAAACGATGACGTGAATGCGTCTTCGTCCGTTTGCAGGACGTGCTCAGTGGTCGCCGCAGCATGGTTGGAGCACGTGAATAGAACATGGTGAAATTGGGAATCCTGGTCGCTTGATTGGCCGGACTGCGACACTGCGCTACTATGGGAAGGTGCCCAAGTACAGAGTCGGAAATTGCGGTGGGTGACCGAGCGCAACTTCTAGAGGAGAATGAGACGGCTCTTTATACACGCAGGTGAATGACTTAATGACAAGTGCACATGCGCACCATGCGACAACACATGATCAGATATCAGTGTCATGTGCAGTAATATTATTGCTCAAAACAACTCTCGTATGGTCCAATACACATCCAGTAACCTACCTAGCTTGTTGCTTTGTCTATTATCTTCACCGTTATGTCTATACAGAACGACACCAAAAATTGAAGAGTCCAACTCCGCTCGATTGAACTGCATCTTGAGGTTCTCAATATCGGATCATGTATGCGTAGCGAAAAGTTTGGCACAGTGTCAAGTAAGAACTCTCATCTTTCTCATGTCATTTTGGCCATACTAGCGACGACTTGGACCGCGATTGAGGCATGTCTGCCGTAGCGATCAGGGCATCTCAAAGGAACAGACGTCTACAGCTCGCTTACTATCATTCTCTGTGCGATAGTAAAGAATGCGTTGGGTTATTCAGTGACAAACCTTCGACTATAACGCATTGTTTAGATCTAGTGAGATATCGCTGCGGATAGCTTCAGTATCGTATCATTCAGATGTCGCACAACGGGGGCAAGTCTCTTAAACAGCTAGTCTATCATCACCCGTCCTCACAATCGACATGCTACACTATGCACGTGCTTCATACTATCGAGAACGGTTAGTTCATACATTTTTGCGCCCAGAAGTCACCGCATGTCTTCATTCCTTTTGTTTTGAACATCCACACTCTTAAGCTTTTTTTACAGGAGAGAGTACCTAGGTAGCCGTCGGAATCACTCGTGTCAGAGAAACGAAAGTTACCCACTACTGCCGTATCGCAGTACGTGTATCTTGGCATGGCATCCTCGAAGGAGTTGTTAATGTGTGTTAGAGCTGTTCACTATCTAGGTAGTTGTGGAAGGAAGTGTCTATCATGAGACACCTCAACTCGATACAACACCACTTCTTTGCCTTCTCCCGTTTACATTGATCATACATTGACCAAGCCAGGTAATAAAGTTCAACAGACCTGACTCGCTCAGTACACTGTAAGTCAATCCCAAGTTTAGCTGCATATAACGACGACGAATTGTATACCTTAACAAGTTAGTTTGGCTCTTCCACAACAAATATTGGTGCCTGGATTCACCCTCCAATGAACATATACAATGGCTGCCGGACAAGAACGCCGAGCTTCGTCAGGGAAATCGGATCGAGATTCGACTTGCTTTTTTCTCATCCATGTGGAGGGGCGTAACCAGGGTTCGGGCTGACATTTGATATTGCTTTTTTGCCCGATCTATCAGCAACGTGGTGGCTTGTACGAAGTGATAATCCGCTTACCCTGGCCGACCCACGTGCTTGGTCTTAGTATACCCGCGCGGTACGGTACGGGTACACAGTTTCAGTCCGCTTGTGCTGCTCCTTGTACACGGCGGAAGCAACGCGACCAGTAGCATGGTCTACCCGAACATAGCAGTGACCTCCGCGCAGCAACACGATCTCGTACCGACATCTATTGTCTGCACAGAATGTAAGCAGGCAAATAAGCCGCTTCCAGCACGGTGGCCATTCCGAAATGTGGCATTACTGCCCAGGTGTGACGTGCGGCGTCTAAGCCTCGATGCCTCTATAACGCATGCGCATTTGCGAGACCGCCTAGCTAGATGCTATAGGTTGACTCACTATGTCGGTTATATTCCAGCGCATGTTGAATGCTATGGGAATTTCGTAGCATGGGCCGTATCTTCGGCCCCGGATGTGCAACGCGACCGCATTGGGTCGGCAATCGGATAGAGCTCAGGCGGCACGAATCGAGATTCGGATTCCAAGATTCTGCAGGTGGACAGTAAGCTTGCGCAAAAGTCGGTGACGGAGGCCCTAAGCTTTGAATCGACAATGTGTGATTCTCGCTATACGCTCCTTGTCAGAGTAAGGAAAAGAAATAGTGTGTACCAGACCTTTCACCGCGGGTCGAAGCAGACCGCTCTTCGGAGCTTTTACCACGAATTTGTGGGCAATAGTGCGATTGGTTCGGAATTTGACAGTGATATCTACCGTTGTTGATGCCCAATGTCAGCCACATAGATCAGAGTGAGGCGCTAGCTACCCCACAGTAACGTAGCCACGATCCGAAGCTATGACTGTGGGAACGTCATGTTTTCCTCGATACACCCCCCATCGTGTCATTTCTCGACCCGGGTCTCGTCCCGTGTGAAGCAATGCTTTTTCGAATCGACGTTCCTCCATGCGACAGGGAAGGATTCCCGAATTGTTAGGTATCTATGGTTGCTTTTGGCAGCCGTTGGACGACCGTAGTAAGGCGAGATTGGCATGCGTTAGCGCGCACTGCAGGATAGTACAGCGTGCTATTGGAGTGGAGACGCCGACATTCCAAATATCTATACCTACCCTGTATGTGCCACATGGAGACCAAATGTATGAGCCTGCTTGACGATTAGACGTAGAGGTACTCTAATAGTTCTCAGCTCTGTGGGCATCTAGTGATAACCCACGACTATCTACGCATCTTCGCATTTGAGAAACGACCATTAGTCTGCGATTGAAGCAAGTATCCCAAGATGCTGCGGTTCTCAAATCGAACAAAACATGACATCGTCATCCGCGGACCGCCAGCTATGGTTTCGCTTCATGTACGCGTCGTATCGAGCATCGTTGCAACGAGGTCAGGCTAGACTCGTAGGGCGCTGAACGGAGACCCGAGTCAAAAGCAAAGGAAGGCATGCAGCCCCTCTGTAGCATGGAACATCGCGGAACCTTGAACTGTGGTCGCGCAGCTTCAGGGCTGCATGGGTTAGGCAGTCGTTGACATGTGGACGGCGAAAGAACCTGAATACCTAGGCTTGCATCAGGACAAGAAGGAAACATCACTCGTGGCAATTCCGACGAAAGAGAATGTACATATGTTGACAATGCCATTGCGTTTCCATGCCTCCAGGGCTCCTGACGTGGGGCGCCTCATTCAGCGGGGCGGCGTTCACACTTCTCCACATGGGCTACCAACGAAGGTGCCCAGTCTAGTAAATTATCCGTCTCGAGCCGCGCGTGCCACCAGCCGCGACGAGATCAGAGTAGAATGCTGCAGTCGCTAAAAAAGCAAAGAAGACCTCGGGATGGTTGCATACACAAGGGTGGATGTGCGGTAGATGGGATGAGGTCTGACATGTGGGTCCTAAGACGAGATCGGAAACACCCCCCACGCTAATCTAAGCGCCCATTCTAGTAGTACCACCGGCAACGCGACCAAACTCCTGACTGTTTGATGGAGGATGCGACAACTCATGACACTCATATGTTGACTGCGCCGTCGGCGTGATCATCCCGCTGTAGCGGGAGTGGCTGTTGCCAAGAGAGTGGCATGGAATGACCCAATTTCCGGGTCAGTTGTGCATGCATAGGTTATGATTTCATGGTTTGTAGCGTTATGCGCCCCTTACTGGTGAGAACAAGTTGTGCAACGAGCCCATCGTCCTACCTATCTATGAGAGTGTGTGGGCATGCCGAACAAATCCGACGACGTTGGATGACCAAGCAGCTGCATTCGAGACCACGATGCTGGATCTATCTTGGTTCTTGCTGGATCGCGCAATTTCCCATATCTGACATCGGAGTTCGTTACACGTTGATAGGTAAAACAGGCGTCCAAGGTCGCCAAGAGAAGGGGTAGGAGCGGTAGGAGCTGAGTGCGATTGAAACACATAGCTGAACGCTCACATCCGTGTCGTGCAGCGCTTTACAAAAGCAACATGATCGCGATTTCCGAAAGACAGTACGTGGAGTGGAAAATGTATGAGAGTTGGACTGTTCAATAAATTACTACTTCAGGAGGTATTACATGTTGGACAATGTGTACTGCAGCGGGTTGGCTGCGAGTGAGATCGTGGCGTTTACTGCGCAATTCCAATCATGGGTTTGTAGGAGGAAGCGCGTGCTCGTTGTTTCCGGCTCGCGACAAAGTGCTGGTGGCAATATTGGCGTTGCTTGGAGTATGTGATGCATTCGGGGTATGGATACAGTGTGGTAGCACCATAGTGCCAGTTTCGTCAAATCCGGCCGGTGTGCTGTCTAGCGTTTGTTGCCTAGCGATATCGAATGGCGATCGGATCGAATGGCGGCACCATATGAGGGTCAAGGCCGTGAAGCGAAGATCTTTGGCAAGTGTGCTGGAAGTAGAGATAGTGTGGGCTCATGCCGAAACGGAGCCTTCTGCAACTCAGACACTACGTGAAGAGCGACCATCTCTTATACCAACGTTAATTTTATAATCTTCTTCGTCGTCCGAGTCCATTGAGTGGTCGACAGGAAAATTTCTTAACCCATTCTCTAGCATCCGGAATGTTTCTGAGTAGGCCTTGGAAGGAACGGCGTCCGGTTGGATGAGGAGCGAAGCAACGTCCATCTTGATCGATCTGGGATAAGGAAGGTCGTTGGGATCTTTGACGAACCAACTGCGGTCTTGTGTAGTGTCGTGCTTTCGTACATGATGCGTGGCGAGATCCGAAAATCTTTCGTCTAGGATCTTGCGTAGCACACGCTCGACTTGCTCGTCCGTAGGCCCTTGTATGTTCTGTCTCTGCTCCAG